CCCCCCCCCCCCCCCATCGCCTTCCCTCGTCACAGCGGAAACAAAGCTAAGGCCCTAGAATAACCGCGGCGTCTTTTTCCCTCTCCAAATGGCTGAGAACAGCACGCTGGGCGTTCGGTTGCGCTGAGTCGCAGAGGGTGCCCTTGATTTTCCGTGGGGGCGTCGCCGCTTTGCGCTGTTGGGGGGGCTTTCTGGTTTCGTTTCCGCCCCGATCTTCGTCGTTTATAGGGCACGATCCTCTTGTTGGCGCTCCCGATACAATCCAAAACCATGCAGCCATTTTCTTTCCTCAACCACCTGGTGACAAATCCGTACGTTACTTCAGGCTAGGCTAGATAAGCCACGTTCTCTGGTCCACCCCTTTTCTCAATCACATTGCATCGCACTCGTTGATTTTATCAGTATTTCGCTTTTTAGGCGTGTTCAAGATCGGTAAGATCGGATTACACATGCGAGAAAAAATGGGAACAAGAACGATTCTACTCCCCCCAAGGCTACTTAAATAACACCGAGACAGGTCTCAATTGGTCTGAGGGTTGGTGTATCAAATCAAGGCCATTCACATCTCCACCACCGGTTGCCGTCGAAAACCGAGATAAAATGAAGGGTCTCAGTTGTTCTTGACGAAATCGGAGCCCTTCTGCGCCATCTTTACAAGCGCTGGTACATTATCGTCCACGAGGGCTTGCTCGAAGGGTGAAAGGGTGCCGAACCCGTGGACCTTGCTCACGCCGTCCTTGCCCAAGGTGCACTGGCGACGAAACAACCCCAAAGAAATGCAAGAGATCGAGGGGAAGGGATTGAGGGGGGGGTCATCAGGGGGGCGCATCGGGCAACAAGAAACCAACACGTCGTCAAGATACAGTGTAGGCTAGATTCATCCACGCCTTCTTTTGCGCGTTTTTTGGGAGGGGACTGTACTTGTTGCTTCCCTTACCTTCACGATTGTTGGTTATACTCGAAACCCAAATGATGGAACTTTCGCGTGATTTCTCCCACAGGGAGAACAGGATGAACCTCCTCACACACTTGGGTACATGTCCTCTAGACACAACATGGCATTCACACTCCATGCGACACACGCATGCTGGGTATGTAAAGTGCAATGCGAGCTACCCACAGAAGAATTTACAGGCTAAGAACTGGATGGAGCCTCACAAAATCCAAAATCTAAGAACTCGGCCATAAGAATACGTGGTCAATCAAGTCTACAGTCGCTGTGGGGGTACCCCACAGACAAAATAAGAACGGGCCTGGGGAAAAAGAAGAGGGTCGTAATTAGCGGCGCGTTCTGTCCTGCTGTAGAAACAAGACTAACCCTCACCGGCGATGCGAAGAAGGGGGCTTCCGTCAGGTCGCTCTCCACGAAAGCGCACTCCGTCACCCCCTCGACGCCGTTCAGCCCGTCCAGAACCTTGCCCGCGAAGTAGGCACCGGCGTGTGCCTGGCATGAAGCAGAAGAACAAAGTACAAGACATGAGGCCGGTACATTTGTATGAAAAAACGGAACCCAACGGGAGCTGTGAAAGGTGTTTTTCCACTCCGCCAGACGACCAAGTACATTTGCCGGTGAGCAGGACTGAACGCGATATATCTTCAAAAGTAAGCCCCACTGTCCGGAGGTACACCTGTCCAAACGTAAGCTCCAAACGGACGGGCTTGATGCCCCATACGCGTGAATCAACCATCGAGTATCGCAACCTATACAGGTATCTACTTTCGTTGCGGGTGGGACGATCCGTTTCTGAGGATTGCTTCGGGATCATGAGAAAAAACAGGGGGGAAAGGACTCACCATTGAAAGGGTAGCCGAGCCAGCCCCATCCTTCGCCTGGACCACCTCATCACCGCCGAACTGGATGCGGTGGGTCAAGGCCTTAATGTCCTCGTCCGAGAACTTGGCTCCCTCTACCTGTTGTCAAGTTGCCATACAAACAGCAAATGTTGTGAATTCAAAAGTTAAATCAAATCCTGAACCTACGTATTTTTCATTGGAAGTAGGGGATGGGACCACGCCAGTGACGGGCTTGTCGGATTGCTGCAAGGTTTTTCCATGCAGCGACCCTGCCTGTCGCCAAGGCTGTGGAAGCTTTGCCATACGGCATTACGGGCCTTGGTTGATATGGGTCAGGGAGCTTAACCGTCGTCGGCGTTGGCACCACAGCAATCTACTGAACTTCGCGCGTAACTTGAAAACTCGCGCTGGGGTGAAAAACAGCCATCATTTGATGCAATAGTTCCGATGGAGGTATTCCACCAACACCTGGCGGAGATAGCACAGACCATAAAACCCTAATCCCAGCCCTAGCCTTTCCACCGGGCCGTGCACCAAAGAGCATCGTGCTTCAAATATTCGAATGCCTCTTCGTTTCTCTTGGGTTAGTGGCGTGAAGCTCGGTCCAGACCTATCTATCCATACTAGCTGTAGTGTCCGCAAAGCTGAGTGGCGTCAAAAACTACAAGAGCCCCCTGCTACTCCAAATCCATGAGCCTCATCGAGACAGCAACAGACCCACTTGGCACTCGCTAGACGAAGTCACCCCCCTCACCCTTCTACCTCGTCATCAGACCCCCCAGAAAAAAAAAAGGAACACAACAGGAGTAAAAGCTCAGCAAGGATATCGCCGTGCTAGTCTACTTCGATGTGTTCCGATCGTATCCTCCCAACGGAACACTCCTCTGAAGTGCCACACCGCCTTCTTGGGCCAAACCTTGCAAACCTTATCCGAAGTAGGCCGATCTCACCTGAGACAAGAGGGGCATGATAGTGGTGCCCGCATGCCCTCCAATAACCGTCACATCCAATTTATCCACATCCATGCCTGTTCGTGGAGTACACATAAGCCCGGCGAGCATCGTCGATGATTGATGCCATTAGACCACCAATCCATGTCAGCGTTCACCGTTTTGTATGTGCATGAAATTCAAAGCGAGCGGTCAGAACCAAGCCGAGGCGATTATTTTTCACACCCGGTGTCGTGTTGGCAAGCACGCGTGCATCGAAAAGCGTTACATATCAAAAGGCACCATGCGACAATAAAAATCGGGACTGAAATAAGCATCGCATGACCCCAACAACGCCAGCCCACCTGAAGCGGCGGAACATCAACGCGACAAGCACAACACCCCCTTTGCCTATAGTGGGTAGTACTGTGCGTGCAAGTAGTGCATCTCGCGGCAAAAGCAACGGAAATTGAACCTAGCCGTGTATCAAGTTTACTTCTACATGGATCGTCGTCAGACGTGCCACAGAAAATACTCCCCAAGAAACACCCCAAAACTTCCCGCCAAGTGCAGAATACACTGATCAATACTGTCAAGAAACATTTGCTTGTACCGTACGGCACGGGCAGGCGTTGCGAGACCAAAAATCTCTCAAACAACTAAGCACTACTGACGAATCTACTGGCGTTGCACTTGGAGGTGTTGCTGCAGATAGTGGCGGATCGATAGCTCCAACAGCAAGCGAGCGTCTCTGCACTAACAAGTGTTTCACCAAGCCTATGCATACATAGCCCTACTTCCCACCCTGGTTCTCTGCGATGAAAGTCTGGGCACGACACACGTCGAGGGTGGTGACACCCATGAGCTTCTGTGGGTCATAGACGCCATTCGCCTGATGCCAAGCCAAGTCCAGTTGCAAATGGCGCCCGCGATGCACCACGGTAGTAGAAAGCGGCAACGAACAATATGGCAGCAGCAGTATTTGTTATGTTGGTGTTGATATTGACGTTTAAAACTGACACAATGTTGTCCTCGCACAAGAGATACAGATACATCCCCCGTTTTTCTCTACCCTTTAAGGTCTTGCCCCATGTCGGCCTGCACTGCTCTACTACAACTGCTGCTGCTGTCTTAACACCAAGACACACGTTCTGGCCTCTACCAAGATGTGCTTTATACGAAATATGGAGCTGCTGTGTTACGCGTACCTGTGATGGGATTCAACTCATGATGGACACACGGTTGATTGCGCCCTTTGCGAAGCACGCAAGCTCTCTCTTTCTACGAAGTCGCCCGCGGACAATGATCTAGGCCCCTGTATTTTTTCCCTCTTGCACACAGAACCAGCAGCACTTAGCACACGGTCCTCTTCGACTGCGTGGGTTTATTTAACGCCCCGAGCATAGCAAGCCTTCCTATAATAGTACACCAACCTTGAGCACGTCGGCGAAGATGGGCACGGTCGAGTTTACGGGGTTGGAGATGATGAGGAAGCACGCCTTGGGGCAGCTCTTGGAGCACTGTTCCGCGATGCCCTTGACGATCGATGCGTTGGTGTTGAACAAGTCGTCACTGATATACGGGAACAAAGGACCAACACAACGGCGATTGCAGGAAAAACAGGACGACATCGTAGTGTATCAGGCGACTGTTTACGCAGCAGTGGGCACAATCCGCACTTGAGTTATTAGTCCCCGCCTCTCTCCAGTATCTCCCCGTACTAAAGAGAGAGAACATACGTACTTTCGTGTTCAACAAAGGCTCACCCCCAAAAACAACACCAATAACAGGCGCACATCGGATGTAGGGGAACCACGAACAAACGCCGCCGTTGAAAAACGTACAAAAGCCAACGAATGCCTACACGGCTGTGGTTTGTTAGGTGACGAACTCACCGTGTCATTCCTGGCTTGCGGGGCACGCCCGCAGGGATGACCACGACGTCTGCGCCGTCCAATGCGGTGGCCATTTCCTCGGCACCCTTATGCCCGGTCACCTGCGGCGGGGAAACCAGGAATATTCGAACGTAGCAGTTGCAAAGTGTTTTAGCCAAAGTACAACGGCCGTGGTGCGTTGACGACTGCAGTCAGCAGCAGTAGCAGAGTGCACGAACGGTCTCCAGTGGGCAGGATACGGCTGAAGCCGTTTCTGAGTGGATGAATATCCAAGCTCGCGGAGCGCACATACTTCATCAGCCAGTGTTCATTCGAACCGCTGTTGAAGAACACAGCTCAACGGGCCGCATATAGATTACTATTGTTTCTTTTTGGCGAACGAAAAAAGGAAATGTATCTTCACCCCCCTTCCGCTGGTGTATCAGACTAGTGATACGACAACTTGAGTCAGTCCCAATTCGCTACAGATACATTGTACCAGGCGAGAGAACGTCATGTCGAGAGTGGAGCGGGTCCTGGCGTAATTCCACGAGCGACTGAAGCTTCCAGAAGGTAGACAGCGCTGCAATAAATAGTTGGGCTGCACCGCCTTTGACCTTGTATTTACAATCATGCCATCATGCCACATTGCCCAATCACCCGACAGGGTGATCCGCGTTTTCCGTACAGTACTCCCACATCACAGGCGCTATACTATACTAATTTCCAGCTGAGCGCCTTATGGCAAAATTCACCAAAACTACGAAGTTGAATGTTCGTATATACCGTTTGAAACATGCACTCCTGTTGTGGTGCAAAAAAGAAGTGTCCGACAGCAAATACAGTTGTAGCCCGCAGCGGCAAGGAAGGTAGCGAAACACGCATCAGCAACACACGGATACTTCCCTCCCGTCTCCCGTCATGAGTATGCCTGCACAGGCTAAGTGTGGACCTTCGGCAGCGGCAGTAGCGCGTGGCGAATCTACGAGAAAACGGATGAAGCTTTTTGTACTGCTGTATCTTGGTGGGTGATGCCCGTACTAACCTTTCCCTTGCTGTTGCAGTGGGAGATGTCGGCAGCGACGCCAGGTGTGTTGACGATGTCGAACAGAGACAGGTGTTCGACCTTCCCCGACAGCTTGAGGAGAAGGGACATGGGCTGGCCGATCCCGCCCGCGGCACCCACGACGGTTACCTATGTATGCATCACAGCGTTTTTGGTCGAGTTGGAGGAACAGAAGGGCCGCACAAGGTTCAGCGAAGTGCTGGCGCCTAGGGGCAATTGTGTGACACGAGACAAGAATATATTGCAGTTGAGGGGCCCTAGATGACTCCAACGCCTGATAGGCATAACTTTTCGATAACAGCACGCATCACGTGACCAACTGCAGGTGCCTGCAGCTGGTTTGATTGCAAGGGCACTTCGGCGGAAATCAACGCCGATACTGCCGTGTAGCCAACCACATCCGCACTGCAGAAGTACTGCTGTAGAGAGACTTGCACAACACACAACACACCTTGTTCTGAGGACGAGCTGTGCCCGTGAAGAAGCGGGAAGAAGAGACACCCAGAGCTTTAGATGCCATGGGTGCGGCCACCTTGGACGCCAACTGGATACGTACAACAGCCGACATGTTAATCTTGAGAGAGGTAGAAGCCCGTGAGAGACGAGGCAGAGGAAAGGTTGCGTGGAGGGATGGATGCCAGGTTTTGACGCTGTGACACGCCGCTGGCCAACTCACCGCAAATCCACCGTCTACGGTTTCGCACACAAAACAGGGGGACTCTTCTGACAGTCTCGACCAATCAACTCACGTGAGTTGGTTTGGAGGAGATGGCTCAGTTGCCTCCAGCCATCCGCTCTGCTTGCAGCAGACAGAGGAATCGATTGCGCACAACGGACGTAGAGCACCGAACAACACCACTCCTGGAAGGGGTCTGAGTGATGGCCGAGTGGTCGCAGCCGCGCGAGCGAGCAGAGTGGACTCACCCTCGCCGCGCTGCCAAGGAGATAATCAGTTACTTGTCACAGGTTGAGACAGTGATCGACCAGTACGCCCAGGATGACCACAGCTATGGGGGAGCCGACGACGATGACGACGACGACGACGTCGGTCGCGAGCAGCTGATGGACAACATCCTCGAGGAGCTCAAGCACCAGACCGCCAGCATCATGGAGGACCGCCAGGGCAGCGTGGTGGCGGAGAAGATGGCCCGGCGGCTCTCCCCGCTGCAGCTCCGCACCATGCTCAGCCGGTGCCGCGGGTACATGCTCAGCCTGGCCAACAATCGCTACTCCTCGCACGTCCTGCAGACTCTCCTCAGCGTCGCCGGGCAGGTCGTTGAGGACGAAATCTCTGGAGACGATGACGCTGACGAAGAAGGAGACACACAGCACTACGAGGAAGAGCCGGGCACCGCAGCCGTAAGCGACGGCAGCAAGAAGATCGACAAGATGCAAGATATCCTGCTCGCCTTGGTCTCCGAGCTGTCCGGCGCGTGGGCGGAGCTCTTCGCCGACATCAGCGGCAGCCACGTGGGGCGGGGGTTCCTCCAGGTGCTCGGGGGTATGCCTATCCTCTCCGAGAAGCGCGGGCGTCAGTCCCGACACGCCCATTCCATCGGCACAGCCGTAGGCCCGGCGAGGATGGGTGGACGAGGCAACAATAACCACAGCAACGGCTCCTCGGTAGGCGCCAAGGGCAAAGCTTCCGCCACGCCATCGGTTGACTCTGAGGCCCTCGAGAAGTGGTCCACGCCCTACAAGCACCGCGTCCCGCGATCCTTTGTCGCGGCGCTTGGGGAGATTACCTCGGAGCTCGAGGCGTTGCCAGCGAGCGAGCTGCAGACTCTGGCGTGTGGGACGTTCGGGTGCCCGCTGCTGGTGATGCTGCTCAGGGTCCACGGCAACCTGGCGACGGCGACGCGCGAGGACAATCCGGGGTCGTCGTCTGCTGCTGAGACGATGGTGCTGCCGTGCCTGAAGCACGAGTCGATGGCGATGAAAATCGTGAAGAAGGTGCTCGAGTGGGACGACGAGGAGCGTAGCGCGCAGGTGGTGTACGCCATCTCGGGGGAGAACACCGCGAGTCATTTTCTGGAGGCGGTGTTGTGGCTGTCACCCAGAAGCTTCTTCGAGGAGCTGTACCACCGGTGCTTTGAGAGCAAGTAAGTTAGCTCCACCGCAGCAGGTTGCTGAACGACGTGTCGTGCCCAGTTTGCAAATATATCGATATTATTTCCGGTATCATTTTTTATTTGGTGGCGTACGCTAGTCTTGTTCTGTGTCGACTATGGTTGGTTGTACGTGGTATTCGCTTTGTTGGAGCGGTTACCCTTGTTCCATTGGGTGTTCTTCCCCGACAAGTACGTAACGCTAAATATGTACCGTAGCATGGTCTTCATTCTTCCTTCCACCGGCCGACATTGACCTCCTCACATGCTACCCCCTCCTTCAACCCCCCAACCTTTTTTCTCTCAGCCTACTGGAGTTTTGCGAGCACGGCGTGTCTAACTTCTTAATCCAGGCAGCGCTGCAGCGAGCGGACGACAAGGCCTTAGCCGAGAAGATGGTGGAAGCCATCAGCGACAACGCCTCGGAGCTCCTCAAGGCACGCCGGGCGGGGGTGCTGTGGAGGGCAGCACAGGCTTGCGTCCGCTTGCGGCTCAAGCCCAAGACGCAGGCCAAGATCCTCCAGGACATCGCCCTCGCGGTGCAGGCAGGGCACACGGGGAGCGCACTCCCACCACCACCAACTGGCGAGAGCAACCCCAAGGCAGTGCAGGACAAACAAGCAGAAGCGTCGGATTCTCCCCCTTCCATCGCGGACGCGTTCAAGGCGGCCCGTGCTTGGGTCCCCGCTTTGCTGAGCCCCCGTCTTCCCGGGGAGGGGGGGCTAGACCGCCTCTTCCTCAACGTCCCCGGGGCGCGCATCGTGCAGAACGCCTTGCTGTTCGACCCTCCTGTGGCGGCCCCCGTGCTCAAGGCAGTGGCTGCGTTGCCGGACGATGTTCTCGCCGCCGTTGCCCGCGACAACATGGGCAGTCGCTGTCTCCTGGACCCTATTCTGGAAGCGGCGGGGGCGAGAGGTGGAGGGGGGGGTAAGGGCGGGGCCAAGAACAAGCCCGCAGAGGAGGCGAGGAGGGCTATCTTGAGGGCTTTCAAGGGGCACCTGGTGGCCATGGCGTGCGATCGCGTGGCCTGGCATATCCTGGTCAAGTGCTTCCGGGGAGTCGACATGAAGGAAAAGAGGCGAGACAAGAACCGTACGGTGCAGATCCACATAGTAGGCAGCATTAGACAACAAAGTTCGGCGGGGTTTTTGCGAGAATCGGAGACTACAATACGATCAGGCTAGCTCAAAGGGACCAAAGTGCAACAGTACCTACTGTTTTTTGCTTGCATGCACTTTATTTTTTAACATCAGTTTCTCTTTCGAATAACAAAGCGTTGATCACCCCTATCAGCCGTTTTGTATTCGTCTTGTGGGATCAGTTTGCATTTCGATCTGCTTTTTGTCGCTCGGGATACCCGCGCTCGGTAGCTGGACAATGAGGGCTCTTCACATGTGCAGTAGTTGCATTTCCTGAGTTGTGCTCACTGTCGCGCAGCGATGAGAATGCACGATACTCCTACATTGGCTGTTTTTCGCCTCTTCCTCCCTTCGGTGACGATCGTTCTACTGGCTGCTGGCTGCGCTATGAAGAGACCTTTGCACGTAGTTCAGGTCCGTCTTTTACGAATGTTCTGTAATATGTCGTTTTTGGTCTCTAAAACGATGTGCACAGAATCGTACATTGCACTTTTTCTCTGCTGCCCACCCACCGCCAATGTTATGTAAACTGTCCATCTTCACCTCGCACCCCCCCCCCCCCCCCCCCCCCCCCCCCCCCCCCCCCCCCCCCCCCCCCCCCCCCCCCCCCCCCCCCCCCCTGTGTTGTACCAGAGCAATCGCAGAAGAACTGGCCGGAGGTGGGGAGCAGTCATGGTCCCGCATGTCCGGCTACCCGTCGGGGCGGTCCGTCCTCACGGAATGCATGGTCGAGCGGTTCTCGCGGTCGCCTCACGAGTGGGAGGATGCCTTCAAGACCAGGGACAATCGTGCCAAGATACTCACGGAGATCCTCGCAGTCGAGTCGACATCTACGACATCTACAAAGAAGGGGACATCCGGGAAGAGCAGCGGCGGAAGTGCTTCCGCTAGCGCTAGCAGCAATGGAGAGGCAGGCAGGCTTGTGCCTTCGCCGTTCACCAGTAAGGCCGAGGATGGTGAAGATGGGGGGAAGGGGAAGGAGAAACGGCGGCGTCAACGGGGCCGGGGGAGGAGAGGAAAGTCGTCCGCTGGAGCTGGAGCCCCTGCCGATGCGGACGGGGGAGGGGACGATGGCGAGGGGGGCGGTGCACCGGAGCCAAAGGAAACGGTGGCTTCAGTCAAGGATTCGAAGAGATTGAAAGAGACACAGAAGGAAGGGGGGGCGCAGGCGGAAGAGGGGAGCGCTGTCGATGGTGCGGCCACGTCCGAGAAGAAGAAGGGCAAGGCGAAGCAAGGAGGGGGCGTCGTCGAGGGAGGGGGAGATTCCACCGCCAACCAAGAAATTTCCAAGAAAAAGAAGAGGAAGCGCCAAGAAGGGGCGCCCGGCTGCGACGGCACGGAGGCAGCGGGGGACACAGCAGCAGCAGCACGGGGAGGTGAAAAAGAGAAGGGAGCCGACCTCTCGTTCGTCATGGACACCATCAAGAAGTCGGTGTCCGCAGGCGACAAGCAAGCGCCGCCATCGCCTACGGCCACCAAAAAAAGAAACAAAAAGATAAAGAAAAGCGAGGCTTCAATAGACGTAGGCGATGACGTGACGAGTGAGGCTAGTGGCGCGGGTGAGAAGACACCGGCGACGGCCAAAGAGGGCGGTAGCACTGGCGGCGAACGGCTGGCTGACACGGGAAAGGGAAAGAGCAAGAAGAAGAGCAAGAAGAAGAGTAAAACATCTGAGGAGGAACACTTCAAGTGGAAGGCGGTAGAGACTCCGGCGAAGCGAAGAAAGGACGATGATGCTGCTGCTGTGGCCGTCGAGATTGAAGCACGAGGGAGGAAGAGTAGGAAGAGCGGGTTCCGCCTGTTTTAAATCCCTTTTTGATGTAGTACATGCCACCCCAAGCTCTTGCGACAGGTGCTTCCGATGGAAAAATGCTGCTGGTTTCCACCACTGTAGGTGAAGCACACTTGTTGGAGATGTAGCGTGGTCGCCCTTCACGTCAAGGAATTGTGGCCCTTGTGGTGCGCCCGTGCGCGTGGGAATGGAAAGCGTGTGTGTGTGAGCAGGGTGACTTTGGGCTTGAGGGATACAATTTGTTCTCCCTCGTGAAACATCGGTGGCTGTTTTTGAATGGTTTGAAACGTATCCCATCTTGGTAGCCGCCGAGCCACGTGTCCACTGTGTAGCCAGGAAGTTTCCGCCAAGAGTAATACGATACTGGTACAGCGGTACAACGTCTATGTAGTGGTGGTGCAGTGCATGGGACACGACCGCTGCTGTCAACCACAAGAAGGCGGTACATCGAAATGGCAAATCTTGGTCAAGGACTGAAATAGCGGGCACACTGCACGTGATCCACGTATCGCATTGACAGATTATCCACCTCTTTTTGAGTTCATGCGTCAAGGCTGTCAAGACCTATCTCAATCCAAAACAAGCCCGAACGACCATGTCTTGGTGCTAGAACCGCTGCATGTACCGGACAGGCCTCCCTGGTCGGTCCAGTCAACAACCCGATCGTCCATCTATCTATACAACATTGTTAGGACACGTAGTCTACTCTATCTTCCCGAATGCTTCTGCTGGCGGCAGGGTTGAGATTCATGCCCTCAATGACCACACAAGGTGCTTCTGGAATCATTGGGCGTGTCTGTCCGTGGGTTCTCGCCAATGGTCTATTGGTTGGTCGAGGCCACGCAGAAAAACAACCTCACCAAACCGTTCATTTTCTTGCAAACACGGACGAAACAATACCGAAACCCCACGCTGCACGCCCGTCAACAAACTCCCAGGTGTCGTCGTAAAAACAAGTCTAATTCGTATGCATGAAGGATGGCACACAACGAGGGAGATAATGCCACCTCACAAATCTATCAACGGCGCATGAATGCGCTGTGTGTCTTGGCGTTGAAACACCCGGTCAAACCGAGCTCCTACCACTATCGTTCTGCAGGGCGTATCTGCGGAGGTGTACCACCTCCCCCTTCTCCTTCTCTCCACAGCTCTTCCCGCCCGAGCCGTACCAGCACCACCGCCACACGCCGCGCCACCTTTGCGAGGGAGCGAACCACCTGCACCGCGTGCCGCGGCGCGTTGGCGAGGCCGTCCCTCCCCTCAAGGAGCAACGCCGTCACCAGGGAGTACACCACCAGGTACAGGGCGAAGAACGCCACTGCCAGAGAAACCCGCTTCGCCCCCGCCTTCGCACGTTTCGCCAAGCCCCTCTTCAGAGAAAGACCCACTGTTGGCGGCCCTCCCCGTGGGGCGAACAACGCCCCCGCACCCCTCCTCCCCGCCTCCAGGAGGCCCGAAGGAACTTCCCCTTGCAACGGAACTCCCGACTTTGGCAAGAGTAATCGCCGTAAACCAGGGAGAGAGTGCGTCTGAACGTAAACAGTCCCGGGGCCTACGAACGTGGTAAACGCGCCAGCAGGGCTGTTGGCTCCAATATTGTTGCCGGTGGTGGGTACCGAGGCACGCCCCCCGGTGCCAGTGAGGCACGTTACGCCGCTGGTCCAACCCACCGCGCGAGAGGAGTCCACCAACCTCTTCTGCCCCGGCCTCAACCGCAACTTTTTTAGCTTTCCGTACCCGGCCACCGCGATTGGCCCTTGCCCTTCACACAAAGAGAGCGCGCCCGTCGTTACAACAGGTCCGCCACGTTGCTGTTGTCGGCGGGAGAGTGAAGATCCCCCCAGTCCTCCTACGCCTGCTGCATCTGGGCGGGGCGAGGGCTTCACGACAACCCCCGGGCCGACGGCAACAATCGCCTGCGTTAGCAGCACGAGCTTGCGGGGCTTAACGGAGCCGTGCCTGCTGCCTCTCGCGGCAGGCCGGTCCCCGCTCCTACCCTCTCGCCGTTGCCTAGCCTTGCGCCGATCGCCGCCGTGGGCATCGTCATAATCCTTCCCATCTTCACCAACGCTTTCGTCTCCGCCGCCGCTGCTGACCGAGACAACGACAACGTCTCCCGGAAACGGTGGGGCGACAAAACAGTCCGTTTCGTTCGAGGCCATCGTGTTCGACACCCTCTCCAGACGGTGATTGTCTCGCTGCTGCTGCTGCTGCTGCTGGTGGTCCTGTCGCCCTTGGGCCGCCTTGCGCAGGCGCCGCTTGAGCCCGCCGAGGATTCCTTGCTTCTCCAGGGGCGCCGGCGGGCGGAGGGCTAGACCGACGCCTCGGGACACGATGTAACGGGGGTCCGCTTTGATGTGCTCGCCGGCCTGCCGAGGTACCGGCAGCAGCGGCAGCAGCAATGGCGTCAGTATCGGTAGTGGTAGCGGCGGTAGCGCGGAGATCGCACGCCGGTCGTTTCATTGAACGTTGTGCTTCGTAATTGTTTGTTGTTGTGATTGTTGTGTTGTTGTGATGCCCTACAACAGTTCAAGTTGAACCGACAGGCTAGTGCTTCTGAGTGCCACCGAGAAGCATTCGGGGCCGTATAACTCGGACGGGAGGCGTTCAAGACTCGAGTAACGTTTCCATCAACTATGTGAAGCACTGATTGCCTGTCAGCAGCTGACGACGAAAGGTGAAACAGCATGGAGGTGTGGTGGTGTGTTGCAATCACGTCAGGAGTAGCCAGGCCATTCGGCGCCTCTGTGCTGCTGTATGTGGGCATGACACGAGACGCCATGGTACCTCCTCAGCGTTGGTGCACGGGCGGACCAGTGCGCCTGGAGTACGGCAACTGTCCATTTTGTGTGTGTGCACGCTGAGGCTCTAGGTGTGAGCATGTCCATTCACTCGCAGCGACAGACAATACGGACACCCAGGCAGAGGGTAGCAGGTCATAAAGAGGTCGGGGCAGAGAAACTGCTCGTGTTGTATAGTTTCTCGTATCGCGTACTCATTGAAGCGCGCGGAGAAAGAAAGCAGAGGTCGCACCTTCAATGTAACCTGGAGGCAGCCACCCTTCACTTCGATCATCTCCACGCCCATGACACCCGCATCAGCATCTTCTCTCGCCAGCATCAGCAACATCAACAACAGGAGAAGCACCACTTGCTTCCCACATCGTTGTACCAAGGACACTCGGTTGGTGCTACAACAGCAGTGAAACATCTCACTCGGTACCTTCCTCGTCATCTCCAGAAAAGGGCCGGCATAAACGCCAAACAGGCACTGCTACAACGCCAAACAGGCACTGCTATGCCTCAATTCCTGCCTCTGCCCATACTCTTCATTCCCGCTGCCAGCTGCTGCCTGCCCAAGCCAGCTGGATGCGGCATGTCTTCCGGGGCCCCGTGAAATGGTCACACTTTTCAAACCGGTGACATCACCTGAGATCCTGAGATGCACCAAATGCCCGTCGTGGCATGGAACAAAAACACCCGAGGGACTACACCAAGTCCATTCTGTCACCAAGCGTGGCAGCCGCCTCCTACACTCGACGAAGCGATGGACGCCATCCGAGAGATGCTGCCGACGGATCTCCTCGCAGGAGCGGCGCTGGTGGCGTGCGTGTTTCTAGCGCTAATTGCGGCCTTTCGACGAAGCCCGAAAAACGCGCCTCCTGTGGTGAGGATGGGCGTGCCGGTGTTCGGGAACTTCGCAGCCTTCATCCGAAGCCCTCTCAACATGATCAGGGAGTGCTACGAGAAGTGAGTGAACGAGAGAGGTTGGCCCCTAATGTGAAGTTATCAGGCGTCCTCGACTGACCTGTCTTGGAGCTGTTTGCGCACTGCATGCCCTTCTTGTGACATCGAAACGAGTCTGGCGTGTACTGCTGTCCTAACGGCGAGGTGGCACGAAGACACGAAGACTGCTTGCTGCAGTTGTGACGTGCAACGCAGCTGCCAGTGACAGCAGTCTCGTAGATACCTCAATAAGCACGCTAGAGAGCGGCATCGAACACCTTACGATGCTGCTTGCGGCCACGCAACGTAGCCTGTGTCTGATATTTGGTATGTGGGCGGTGTTGAGTTTCCCGCAGTTCCCCCGTATATACCCGCCACAATTTGAGCCCAGGCCGTTCGCCGCTAAGCACCGTCAATCGTCACTTCACAGGGATGCAGTGTAACCCTAGATATACCCAAGGCAGCGGTGTTTGGCCAACGTCGTGGGCCACCGTTCGGTCACAACGAAAAAACGCACAAGCCAACCGCTCGTTCTCTCGCTCGCGCGGAAAAAAGCTGCTTGTGTTTGCTTGCGGAAAGTGTGATACTGCTGTACGTTTGGAGCGATGCATACGATCCGCCCTGCCCCACTTTGGTACCGTTCACGACGATGGGTTGGCGACGGTGCATTTGATGCCCCCGTTCGATAAATAAATGCCGCAGCTCGACAACAATGCTACATCAGAGCGGCGTTGTACGGTGCTCAGATTTTGCTGGGTATAGGCGGTGCGGGTGAGACAGACAGATCTTGGGTACAACGACCTCATGGTGCCTGCCAGCCAGCTACAATAGCGATTGGGCAGATGATGATGTCTGTTCCCATACAATAAATACCCCGCACCTTCACAGCCGTATGTAGCAGGGCGTGGGTCACTTCAATTATTTTGGTCACCTTTGCCCTGCTTGTTTTGATGCGCTGCACGCAGGTACGGCGCTGTGTATACCGTCCCCCTGATGGGGTTCAACTTCACGTTTCTCGTTGGACCGGAGGCTCAGGCACCGTTCTTCAAGCTCAACGTGAGTTAGTGCTAGTTAGAGAGCGACTAATTGCCGCGTATCCTAAGTGGGGATGACGAAGGTGCTCGAATGCCGTATGCATTTTGCAGTAGGGAGTTGCGCAGTTGTGCATGTTGTATTATCCTACTGTATGGGCCAATTGTGAAAACCTTGATTCTTAATGAAAACGAGGATACCCGATCCAAATGGTGCGTTTTCCGGAAAGCCCTCGACGAGACGAGACTATCCCAACCGCCGCCACTGGTGTTCTTGCTGCCGAGTAGCATACGAGTAGAGCAGAGCTACAGCAGTAGCTCTGACAATGACAATAGGTCCAGGGTGCGCGGTTTAGTCTACCTGGTAGTGTGCAACGTTCTGCTGTGCATTCTCATCGTTGATCTGCCACGCCCTCTGGGTCTCTCGAATCGGTCTACTATCAGAGGGAACATACTAAGCAAAGGCCTTCCCTATCGCACGATGGTGCGGTTGGCCATTCCGAAAATACTACAGGAGGCGACCGTGGCCGGGGATGTACATGTAGGTGCTGAACGATTTTTTTTAGTATGAGTCTCCTCTCCTCTGAACCGTCGTTGGATCTTGGGGATTGCTTGTGCACCGTTTGATGAGAGTTTGGTTTTGCTCTACTCTTGACAGGAGATAAGCTATGTGTTGCAGCCTTGCACCGATTGCCCCGCCCAACGGACTTGGTTTTGTGGCAATCGACGACATCTACGAGATCACCCCGCTACACACGGCTTGTCTCCGCCAAGCCCGAACCTTGCGGTAACGACGCGAGACCTTGGTTCTTTGATAGACCTTGATCTATACATCTTCCCGCCCCAGCACCCTGCTGTTATGCGTCTTGCATCGACCGCTCTACTGTACCCTCCTGACCAATGGGAGTCCGTCAGTCTTTTAGCTAGATAGAAAACGCGAACCTGTCTTGTGTGTGCCTCTCCATGCTCCGCTGCAGGACGAGACCTTGAGCCAGAACGAAGTGTACGGGAGGTACACCAAGCCCGTGTTCGGCGCGGATGTTGTGTACGCGGCAGACCCGAAGAAGCGCAACCAGCAGATGCAACACATGGCCTACGGCCTCCGGACGGCAAGGCTCAAGTCGTACGTTCCCATGATCGAGAAGGAGACGCGCAACTTCCTCAAGACCTGGGGTGACTCGGTGAGACTGCTGCTGCTGTTGCTGTTGCTGTTGCTGTTGTTGTTGCCGTCGTGGCCGAAATCAAAATGAATTGAAGAGTGTCTGTCGTTAAAGAGGACCAGGGAACAAGAGTCCGCACTCTGGACACCCCCACAAATGTAGACAGGATTTTCGCCACCCCGCACGCACATGAGTATTGTACAGCAGAGTATGCGTGTGGGTGTGGGTGGGTGTGATGTGTCGAGTTTACGCACGCACAACAACAGGAGACATGACATGTTATGCCTCCGATCTATCTCGTCGTTCTCGGCTTCCCTGGTGTTCAGTAGGAGGACGGATCAGCCTCATGCCTGTCCCTCTGCTGAAAAACAACCGAAACCTCACACGCGTGTGTCCACGCCCAACCTATCTCTTCTCGTGTCCTGTGAGCTGGCAGCAAGTAGGATCGTAGCGTGTAACTTGTCCCGCTTCTCTTTCGGCGGATGGGGTAGGACTGTCTCCCGTGCTATCGATCTCGATGGCCCTGACAGCAGCACCTCCTCAACAGTTCCAACATTCAAATGCCCCCGTTCCCCTCAGACGCGATAAATCCGCTTCCATCTAGCCAGTTCAGCCTGGCCTCCGCCAGGTTGAGGCCAACACTCCTATGCATACCCCGCCCCCCGCCCCCACGTGCTTATCCTGTTTCAATGCCGTCATAGTATGCAACGAGGACAGGGAGGAACTAATAGTAGAACATGGATGAAAGTGGGGATCGAGGAGATTGCAGTAGTGGACCAGTACGCATACCTCGGAGTAAGATCGCAAAAGACTGCTCGTGGAATGCACACATGTCCAAGGTAGCGGAAAAGGGCAAAGCACGAGCAGGGAAGCTGCACCCAATACTCGCAAGCCGGCACCTCGATACACGCATCAAATTGACGGTTTTGAAGAGCGCAATCGTACCGCCGCTAGAGTACGCCGGACAAGTATGGGAAGGAAGAAGGTAGTGAAAGAACTCGAGGCGGCGTAGATGAAAGCAGCAAAAATCATCCTAGGATGGTCCAAGCGCACAAGTAATGGAGCCGTCAGGGCAGAATTGGGGATCCAATCCCTACAGTCGGGACGAGACTCAAGGAAGCTGACATGGCAGTATCGTATGTGCGGGATGGGATAGGAGAGGTTGCCGAGAATTGTATGGGAGGCAAAGTGGGCAAACAAAAAGNGAAGGTAGTGAAAGAACTCGAGGCGGCGTAGATGAAAGCAGCAAAAATCATCCTAGGATGGTCCAAGCGCACAAGTAATGGAGCCGTCAGGGCAGAATTGGGGATCCAATCCCTACAGTCGGGACGAGACTCAAGGAAGCTGACATGGCAGTATCGTATGTGCGGGATGGGATAGGAGAGGTTGCCGAGAATTGTATGGGAGGCAAAGTGGGCAAACAAAAAGAGGGGTAGACAACCCACGGAATGGGTCAAGGTTGTAGAGGACGTATGGAAGGGGCTCGACATCGACGAAGATGAAACGCTGGAAACGGAGGGTCTACAGGGGTTCAAGGATAATATATCTGTTGCTTGTGCCGAGAGAGAACAGAATCTATGGAAGAAACCGAGGATATGGAGGGTCTACAAGTGTACGGAATGTTGAAGGAAGGAATAGGGTTCAAGGATTATAGACCAATGGATGCAGGGACAAAGCTGAAGGTCGAATTCAGGACCGGGGATATAGGTCTTCGAGAATCTCGACAAAGGCATAGGACGGTAGACAACGAAGACGACGAGTTCAAATGTGATTGCGGCTTCGAATGCGAAGACCGTGTTCATGTAGTCGCGGAATGTCCGTTGTACAAGAAGGAGAGGGAAGTGTACGTGACTGAGCTGGGAAAAATAGATGGAACGTACAGGGAGATGTTTGAGGCATGGAATAGAGAGGAAAGGACGGTAGCTGTACTGGGAATTAGGAGGTGGGTTGAAAAGGCGGGAAGGGATATCGTTGGGATAGGCAGACTAGGGAAGACATTTTTGAGCCACCTTTGGCAAAGTAGGAAGGAACGATTGGCCATCGGTGATCGGTCCTGTAGGAACAATGCTCCGTCCTCTCTAGGACGCGTGGTCAATGGTCTAACCGCTATGTCATGCAAAACATATGAGTACGCCCCCCCCCCCTCCCCCCACCCGCTCCTAAACACGAACCGCCTCTGCTCTTTTGTCAGGGTGAGGTCGACCTGGCTTCCGCGTTGTCGAGGCTGACTATCTTGACAGCCTCCCGCTGTCTTCATGGAGATGATGTACGCGAGAACCTGTTCGACGAAGTGGCTCGCCTTTTCCACGACCTGGATGAGGGCATGAGCCCCCTCTCGATATTCTTGCCGCATGCCCCCATCCCCGCTCACTTCCGACGTGACAAGGTACTGTAAACCCGCATCACAGGGTCCGGGGGGGGTAGGAGGGGGGTGTACTCATGGTTTGCATGCCCTAGTGAATTGACCAGTGACCACGAGAGGACGGAGCTGGGGGGGCTTGAATGTTCTTAGCTTGAGAAGTCATGTCTCTACAAGCTCATTGGGTGAAGGTTTATCGGTTCGATCCAAGTAGACACGGGTTAACGTTGTTCTGACATTCTTCTTCTTGTGGCAAAACAAATGGTATCACTCTTATCCGTCGCCTCTATTCCTCACTCTTTTTGTATTCTTTGTTTTTCTGCTCTGATTTTCAACATAGCATGTCCTTTTTGGCCTTGTTGATGTTTCGTGATGTAATGGCTAACAATTATCAATGTGCACGTATTTCAGTCCGTGATGTAAGATACGCCATGCCATAACTGCCTGTGTCCATTGGTTGTTCGTGCCCCATGTTCGGTTGGTGACGGTGGTTGTGATGGTGATTGGTGTTTGTGGTGGTGGTACTGATGACGGTAATGGTAATGGTAATGGTGATGGTGACAATGATGGACATGGAGATGGTGATGATGACGATGATGGTAACGTAATGGGAACACAGGCTAGGAAGGAGATGGTGACACTGCTGTCTTCCATCATCAGCGCGAGAAGGGCGGAGCAGGCTTCCGGCACCTCCACCGTGGAGAAGACTGACCTCTTGCAGGTACGGTAACCACACCAACACCAACATTATCTTGTACCATACTATCTCACTCTGATGTCCACGTTCAGCACTAGTTACAATCATCAAGCGATGCATCGGTTCGATTTCGTTCACCGGTTCGCTTTCATCGACATAAAAAGACTGACCTTATGAAGGTAATAAGGTACCAGCATCACCCGCTTTGATATCCACGTGCCAGGTAGCAGTCGCACATACAGTCATGAACCGATCTGATTTCATCGACGCCATTGCAGTTCACGACAACGTTAGCACCGGTGTACGTTGGTACTGTATTGGGTACATATTCAATGTTGTTATTGAAAAGCTGTGGCACCTCGGCAAGAGAGTCACACGTGCTTTCTGATTTTTTTTCATGTTTTGTAGTCCCCAATAGACATAGTCTACAAGAAAGTTCTTGATGTCGCTCGCTTTGGTTGTCCGGTTACTTACTCTTTTTGCCTTGCCTTTCGATTTACCGCGTGTTGTTTTCTCTTGTGCCCTCTTGTTTTGCAGGTGTTTGTGGACATGAAGTATAAGGACGGCAGCACCAACACCGACGACCAGGTGGTGGGCCTGCTCATCGCCCTCCTCTTCGCGGGACAGCACACCTCTTCCATCACCTCCACCTGGACCACCCTCCTCACCACTCGGTAAGCAGCTTTCATCCACCTGTCCGTCCAGTGCATGGTGAGGTGTTGGTCGTACTGTGGTGTCTGTCGTCCGTGAGGCTTCCTCGGGACGCGAATAAAGGCCCCATCATCTCTACATGTACCTGCCTGCCTGCCTGCCTTGACTGCTTTCCCCACAAGCGTGTAAGCCTCGTTCCGAGCATAGCGTGTGTTCATCGTGTTGGTGTTTGATCTGTCGTTTTGTGTACCGAGCTCGGCTTCCCGCCAAGACCTTGGACTCGAAGCTAGGTTTAAGGTCCCTCCTGGCTGTTAGGATGTTGGGATTTGACCCAGGCGTGGGAACACTGAGGTCTTCAAGGTCAAGCTCTTGCGCTTCTGGCTTCTTGCACGAGTGCAGAACGACCAAAATCGATGGCCGTCACTCTGATGATCAGGCTCGCTTAACGAGACTCGATTGGTGGTCCTTCTGGACAGGTCTTCTAGCTTTTTTGCACGCGAATCCAGTGGCAAGTGGGTTGATTTGGGGGCGTTTAATGCGTGTGGTCTCGTGGTGGTCGTCCGTTCCGGCGTTAAACACAGTTTCCACTACCGGTACACGGTTTCATCAACGAATCGAAGATCGTCGGAGATCCGCCCCACCCGCCATCGATGTCGCCCCCCCAGCCTCGGTGCAGCGAGAAGCATTGTTGTATTGGCGTTCTTGTCCGCACTGAGTGGTAGCAGTGCTGTGAGTGGCGAGTTGCAGCACTTCGAGTGGAAGGCCAGCGAAACGTCGTCGAATTTGTGTTTGTGTTTGTCGCCTTCTCTCGCAGGGACCCCAAGATGCTGGAGCGAGTTCTCGAGGAGCAGGAGACGGTGCTCAAGGACACCCAGAACACACCTCTCACTTGGGAACACCTTGGCGAGATGGAGCTGCTGCACGACTGCATGCGCGAGACCCTCCGCATGTACCCGCCGCTGGTGGGTGTTATATTCCGTTAATGTCGCTTGGCCAGTTCCTGCGGTTGTTTCGACCGCGATGTGGTTAGAATGGTCATGCTGACCTGGTCAAGCAGAATGGCATTTAGTTATTGAGTTCTCTGCTGCCGCATTGAATCGCAAGGGTGCATGCCTGTGGTATCATGACAGAAAATTTCCAACTATGATACACGATGTGGAAACGTTGTGCGGAGTATTCCACTGAGGGTCCAAGTTACGGCCATCACCCGCCATCAGCGTAGATGCATCTCTTCGGCCGATCCAAAATACGCTCCCTATGTTCCAACTGCTGACCACAAAGCACATCTTGGATCGGAACTTCCTTGCTCCAGGTTTGAGTGCTATCTAGCACGTAGCATGTAGCATGTAGCATGTAGCAGTTTCGACCTGAGCGTCAGAGCTATGCATGCGAATACGTTTCAGAATACTACCTGTACCGAATGATCGGAATTTTTAGTGTTGACAAGGGAATGAGCTTAGCGTCAATCAACTCTCCCACCGTGCTCTGCTTGTGCTTGTGGCAACCGCTATTGCATACTGGTACATGTACTGTATGACAGATCCTCCTGTTGCGCATGGCGAAGAAGGACTTCACGGTGACCTCGAAGGGACAGAGCTTCACCGTTCCCAAGGGACACTTTGTTGGCACCTCCCCTCACGTGGCAATGCGCCTGCCTACCGTGTTCAAGAACCCCGACGAAGTGAGAAGGGAGACTATTTTGTATATTACTGGAGCAAGTGGTTACAACAACGAAGGCGCCATTTTATTTACCAAGATATTGCCATGTGCGACAATGCATTCTCCGATTACGCAAGGCTATAGGCCAAGTGGGAGGAGGTGTTGGAATTTCTTTCCTCCGCGTCTTCTTTTACAATGTTGAGATAGATCGTAGGGCACAAAACTGCTGGACATGTGTAACATGTGTAACGAGGAACCGACCAAGATTTGACCAAAAGTATCCTAGCGAACAAGGTGCGGTAAGCTGAGCAATGATGTGGCGTGACCTCCGGAAGCGGCCGGTTCGCGCGAATGTGTTGAATCATCATTTGTCACACGCTGGCTTGTTTTTTTGCTGTGCTAATGGTTTTCTTGTCGTGAATCCGTCCGTCTCTTGGGACACTTATTCTGTCGATGATTGAATGCTGTCGATTCGATGATGCCGTCGATGATTGAATACTGTGGATGATGGCGACAGTTCGACCCTGACCGGTTCGGTCCTGAGAGACAGGAGCACAAGCAGCCCTTCGCATACCTCGGCTTCGGCGCAGGAATGCACCAGTGCATGGGGCAGCAGTTCGCTTTCGTGCAGGTGTGTTGAACGTTACCTTTAACGTGAACGTGTTGGTGTATTTTCCAGGAGACGGTCGGTATATGTACCATGGGAGGGGCTCTGGGGCCGATCGGTTGGATGATAGTTGTTGGCCACCTCGTTTTGGCGAACCACGGTTTGTTCGTTGACGCGAGTGAAGTGTGACGTGTGAGCATAGCAGGTGGGGCAGCAGATCGCCGTTGGACTGTGTTGTTAAAACGGCCTATGTCGCCTGGCTTTTGGTGGACATTCCACAAGAAAAAGCTAGATACTTGTATTTATTTATCCCAGTAGATTGGTTCAGAGGAAGCCTATATGTGGCCACGCGGGGGACAGGGCAGACGTACGTACGTCGACCCTAAGGAGCAGTCCATGGAGGCATGTATGCACGTTGACGCACATGGTACGTATGCTTTGCTTGCTGGCGGTGTGGTTTACACGCGTGGCGGCAATGCCCTCATCTTTTGTTCTTGGGAGTCCTCTAGTTCGGTGTCGTGGCTACCCTTCAAACGTACGTACAGTTGTCTTCCTTTGTTTTGATGATGTTTTCTCGGCTCAACGAACGTCAGTCAGTCAAACTCTTGTCTTTTGTTCGGTTCCCTCAGGTGAAGACGATCTTGTCTGTGCTTCTGCGAGAGTACAAGATAGAGATGGTGGGAGAACTTCCCCCTCCCGATTTCAACGCGATGGTCGTGGGCCCCAAGGGCAAGTGCACCGTGCGCTACACCAAGAAGACCGCGTGAAGAAGCAAAAGGAGCAAAACAAGCGACTTCATCTGCCACGAACCGTTTAGCTGGCAGAGGGCACGGGGAGTGCGCTGCGTGTGACGCGAACCAAAAGACCAGCACCGTGAGATCCGACTTGGTGGGAGCCACACATAAGCACGGAAATGCTGATGCTTTTGTATCGAGTGTCTTTGAAGTAGGCGAGGCTACCGCGGGGGATCACTGGCTCATGTTTTTATCCCCGTGGGACGGTAGGCACGAGGGAGGGGGGGGGGG